CGTGCTCCAGACATGAAGTACTCATTCGCGCCGCCCCCTTTTTGGCCAACAGGATCATGCTACAAACTTTCGGCATCTGTAGGAGTTGGGCTTTTCGAGGGCATCCTTTGGAGGCATTTGGGCAAAACTGGCTCCAATATTGCGCAGGATGTTTGAGATGGCCTCTGCTACGACACACTAGAGCCCAAGATGGCTCAGCATGGCTTCCAGCATGCCTCCAAGAAGCCCCAAGACCTCACCAGAGTTGCTCGAAGTGGCCACGGAGCTTCCGAATGATGCCTTCGAGAAGCCGAAATGTATATCAACACGCATATGGCGTTCACTGGGTATTGCCTTCGCGCCGTTCGCTTTCGACGGGATTCCGATGCCCCAAGGCGGCGCTAAGATAACCCAAGAAAACCCTAACAGGGGCCCAGAAGAAGGGCTCCAAGCTTGACCCACGGGCTCCCAGGAGCGTCCAAAAACAGCCCAAGAAGGCTCCACGAGATGTTCTGTTGCCAGGCTCCAGAGGGACAGCGCGAATTATAGGCCCGCATGTTACAAGAGGGTCCCCAAGGCTCCCAGGAGGGCCACAAGAGAGCCCCAAAGGCTGCCATCATGACACCGACAGCGCCCAAAAACGGGCTGCTCCAAGATGGCACACTAAAACAAAAGATGGCTCAATCTTGCTTCCGGCATGCCTCCAAGAAGCCCCAATACCGCCCCAAGATGGTTCCAAGTGGCCACGTAGCTTCCAAAGGTTACCCTCGAGGAGCCAACACCATTCAACACACATGTGGTGTTCATGTGCTCTTGCTTTCGCGCCCGTGCGCTTCTGATGGGCTTCCGATGCCTCGAGATGACTCCAAGATCGCCCAAGAAAGCCCCACATGGGGCCCAGAAGAAGGACTCCAAGCCTGACCAACAGTCCCCGAAGAGCGTCCCAGAAACAGACCCAATGGCTCCAACATATTAAATTTTCAGGCTCCATAGAGACAGCGCTAATTCAGGACCACTCCCAAATGGCCCCAAGAGGGTCCTCAAGGATCTCAGGAGGGCCCCGAGAGAGCCCCAGAGGCTGCCCAAATGGCCCCGACGGCGCGCAAAAATGGCCCCAGGAAGTCTTCAAGAGGCTCCCAGATCGAACGAGCCGCGACGGCATTCGTGGTTGACTCCTGGTTCTGCCCAAGCTGATCTCAAGCTTAGTTTGCCGAATGCCTCCCATCTCTATTCCACTGCATGCTCCTACACTCCCCTGATCAATGCAACTCATCTGGGGGTCGTTTGCGGATGGGCTGGTGTCGATACGGGAGTCGTCAACTACTTACGTGGTGGCCGTGACTTCCAATCTGCGGGCTCGTTCGACAATCGCGGCCAAGTGACCTCAAATTCGACCGCCTGTCGACGCATTTTTCTTCCTGTCCACCTGAACCAGCTAGGCAAGCTTGAGTATCAAAGTATCCGCAGGCGCGGTCTCTTTCGACCGAGATGCCAGTCAAAGCGCTAGAGTTGACACACAATGATTACTTTGGCCTGCGATTCTCTCGGCCGAAGTAGCTGCGCGGACGCAACAACCGAAGATGACCTGCTTGGCCAGCGATTCCACAGCCGCGGCTGTTCAGCCGAAAAGGCCGTGGGTCGTTCGGAATAAGCTGTCGGGGCAAGAGGTACACTCCTCCTGGTCCAACACTGTCTGACAATGAAAGGCACAGCAGCGATACAAATGTCGGAGATCGAGTCAGGCGGGCCTGCCAGGCCCCCACGGCAAAACATGTATCGATTGACTGACCGCCCCTGCGGCCACGCGTCTGGGCCTGTCGTATGTCCGCCCCGCACGGAGGTGTCGACCAGAGGTGCGGGGACGGGAACGAGTGTTCGACAGCCTTTCGACATTGAGAGCGATGCAACACGAATTCAAACTTGCCGCCTTCACGCGCTCACGGCCAGACCTAAGACAGTAATAACATCATGATACGATTGGCGCAGGATCGTTCCAAGATTTCCGGATTATCTAATCATCTGGCGGCCCTCGTTTCTGCAGCTCGTGTGGAGCATTCGTGGATTTAGCAAACTCTGGAATTCTTGGAACGTGTCAGTATCATGACCTCTTGATCCTCTGAAGACCGTGCACTAGCCCTCTGGATCGAGGGCCGTGATAAGACTCTGCTGGAGCTCACCTTCGACACTCCAGTGTGCCCACACTCAGCACTGCTCTCGCTACCGCCAATGCCCCATGAACCCTGGGTCTCAAGGTTAGCATTGTTCGTCTGGGCGCCACCGGGTTCCGCGCCTGCTGGGGCTCTCAGCAATGGCTGCTGGAGGAGAGGAAACATAAACAACGATGACGAAGAAGGCGAGGACATGGGAACAAGGCCGAGCTGGCCGCACTCAGGCGTCCTCCAGGGCCTGGTCCCCAGCGTCAACGAGGAAGCCCACGTCGCGTAGCTCCAGAAGCAGCGCGTCCACAAGGACCTTCTCGCGCGAGGCCTGTGCCCCCACCTTCCTCTGCAGCACCACCAGTAGTGACCGCATGGACAGAGCTCCAAAAGCCTTCTCCAAAGTCCGCAGCTCACGAGGCTTGACTCTGCTGCCAGCGTCGGCGGCGGCGCCACCAGGCACGGCGCGCTGCTGGCTGGCGTACGTCTTGAGCGAGTCCGTGGCCAAGTTCAGCGCGACCAGTTTCTTTTGGAGGATGGGAAGGGCGCAGCCGAGGCACTCGGTCGCTGTCGCCGCCTCCAGCGTCTTCCTGTGCGGCCTCCCGAGGTGCACGGGCCTGGCCGGGTGCTGGTAGTGGCAGAACCTACACCCGCTGCCGTTTGTGCACTGGCCCCGCGAAAAGTACAAGCACGGCCGGACGCACATTTCGGGGTGGCCAAGGCTCCCGACGTTGAGGTGACAGGCACTACTGGCGCCAGCATCGAGACTGGCAAGTGCGGCGGTGGCCCCCAAGTCCGCGAGCGTGCTGGGCTCCTCGATGCTAGACTGGGACATGGACACGCGGTCCGTCTGCGGCAAGGTGCCCGCTTTCGCCCTCAGAAGCGCGTCAGCGATGAAACAATTCGTCACCGGCACTTCGCACGGGTCGTCCACGTGGGCCACGGCGTGCTTCACGTTCATATTTGTCGTGCGCCTCAAGGCCCGCATCGTCTCGGAATACATTTCGGGCACTGCCTCCGCAATGTGTAGCTTGGCATCTGCCAGAGCCCGGCGACTCACCCCCGCGTTCTCTGGCAGACTCCTCTCGGCTGCGAACGAGGGGGGGGGAGTGAGAGGAGAAGGCCTTCCCAGAAGGCTCGGAAGTCCCCCAGCCTTCTGAGAAATGTTGTAAGCCTTTCCCGAAGACGCAGCAAACCTCTCAGAAGGCCAGAGTCCTTCTGAGAAGCCCCGCCGCCTTCTGAGAGGACCTTCTCCTTCTCATTTCACCCCCGCGCTGGCCGCCGATCCTCAACACGCGATCGCAATGTCTGGTCGCCTCCCGCTTGGACTCTTGCACGGCCTGGTCCACCGCCTGCCCAGTAATCTGCTCCAGCTCCTCGGGGATGGTCCACAGCTGCGTCACCATTTCCTGGCTCTCGGGAGCATCGCTCTTGATTGGCGGCGCGCACAGGGGGAGTGGGGTGAGGGGGGAAGGCTCCTTTGAAAGAGACTGCGACTTAGAAGGCGCAGGCCTTGTTTATTTACAGATGTAGGGCCAGCGCCTTCTAAGAAGCAGCCTCCTTCTAAGAAGCCATCCCCCCCTCCCCCTACCCCCCCGTGCGCGCCGCCAACTTGAACCTCTGTATGATGGCGCTCAGTTTCATCCGTATTGCACCGTTCGCCTCCATGATCTTTGAGTCAAACGAGCTCCGGATGATTCCTGGGATTCTGTCCAGCTGGTCGATGGCCACGTCAACGGCATCATCGTCCCCACCGCTGCTGCGAATGGCCTTCTGCACCAAGGACAGGTCGGTCTTCACGCTCTCGGCGAGGCTCTGAGCCTTGTTGTGCACGACGCTGCTCAGCTGCTCGGGAATACTGTCAATGGCTGCCGCGGCGGCTGACAAGCGCCGCTTTTCGAGGCTGGTCCGCATCGTCTCCCGGCTGTTCGATGCCCAGGCTGCTTCCATGTGCTTAGACAGCGCAGCAGTGTTGATGCGGTCGGCGTCGAAGAACGCACTGCTGGAAGGAGACTCGCTGCAGGGCTCACTGGAAGGCCGAGGACTGAGTGAGCCCTGGCGCTCGTCGGCGCACAGGTCGATGAACGTGGCCTTCCACGACAGCTTCTCGCGGCCCTCCATTTTCGCCACACTCCCGGGACGCTGCCTCCAAGGCGATTTCGCACAGACGCTACCTCGCATTGCTGTGCTCGCAGAAACCGAACCTGTGCTGCTACTCTCCGAAAGGCCGCTGCCTATCGCATCCGTGCTAGCACCCGTCCGGCCTTTTGCGCGCGATTGGTAGGTCACAGTTGTGGACGCCTGGGCCAAGCTGCTGCATGCGTCGCCGACGTGCAAAACAGCGCGACCGTCTGCTCCTTCTTTATGGGTCTCGTCCTTGGAGTCGCTCTTCGGGTCTGCGGAAAGGAGCTTCTTCATCGTCTCCCGGCAGTTCGAGGCCCAGGCTTCTTCCATTTGCTTCGATAGCAGAGCAGTGCATATGCGGTCGGCATCGAAATACGCGCTGCATCTAGAAGACGACTCGCTGCAGGGCTCGCTGGAAGGCCGAGGACTGAGTGAGCCCTGACGCTCGTCGTCGCGCAGGTCGATGAACGTGGCCTTCCACGACAGCTTCTCGCGGCCGCCCCCTCTCGCCACGCCTCCACGGCCCTGCCCCCTGGGCTCTTTCGTGCACGTGCCACTTCGGCCCGCCGCGGCCCTGGTCCCGCGAGCGGCAGCCGAGCCTGCACTGCTGCTCTCCGACAGGCTGCCGCCCACCTCGTCCGCATCGCCACCCGCCTGGCCGCCCACGCCGCCACCAGACTGCACAGCGCGACCGCGAGCCGCTTCTCCGCGGGCCGCGCCCGCGGCGCCGCCGCCCCGCATCCCAGGCTCGGGCTCGGACGCCTGCGCCGCTGCTTCCTGTTCAAACAGGCTTTGGCACACGCTGGCCTAAGCCTAAAAATGGCTGCGGAATCCACCAGGCATCCTGTGCCCCTCTCCGCCAGGCACACATTGCCCACGTCCCGGAGTGTCTCGAGCAATCTCGGGGGGGGCATCCGGCCTCTCCGGGCCCGTGTGGTGCCGGATGCCTTCGGAAACCGCTCGCTTGCAGCATATTTGGGCAACCCGGGGCATCCACGGAGTTCCAGAGAGCCTCTAAGGACATGGTTTCGGGGAGACGTAAGACTCAGGTTCGGGAGACTCGGGTTGGCCTGACAGAGCCATCATGAAAATGACGAGACCCAGTCTGAAATTTGACGCGAGCTACCGCTGCAAGCATCCCACCCAGACTGGACCGTCAAAATCCATGACGCGCTCGTCAAAAAGCGTCGGCTAACCCGAGTTTCGGCGCACTCGAGTCTTACGTTTCCCCGATCGCTTACGGTCGGGAACTTTGAGATAGCGTGTCGTGGCAGTGGCCCTGGCGACACGCTGTTCCCTGCGGATAGCGTGCCGCTCCGCTCCGCGGGGCCTGCCCGTCAGAGTGATCCTTCGCTGGAGTGGCCTTTTTGTCCTGGCCCAAAGGGGTCTGATCTTTCGGATTGGGATTGAGCTCGGCCTCTGAGGAGAACAGTTATCGTAAAGGGAGGAAGGAATTGGGAAGATGAAAGGCATGAACAATAACATCCGGATGCAATGAACGATACCTTCGGCCGCCTACGGGTGAAGATATCCTCATTTCTCCCAACCCCATCTTCCCAGCCTCGCGTCGGCGCACGCCGTGTGGGGTTGAGCTCGCATCTGAGCGCGCCAGGGTTCGACCCCCCATCGCAATCGACCGCAGCAGCGCATCCTACAGCGCGCGATGGTGTCCCGAGGGTGGGGGGGGAGTCGACCAGGCGGCGCGTTTTCCGCCCCAAGATCGGTCCCGGATCCCAGCCCAAATCCCAAGCCGTCCTATTTGACTCCCTTTGAATATGTTCGAATACGTAGCACCCCGCAGGCAGATGCGGATAAGAGTGAGGGGGCGATGGGGACGTCGGCAGTCTGCGAGACTCTGGAGAGGCCCGCCGCAGGCGCCAAAGTTTCTCGAATTATACAACGAGCCCGCCACCGGCGTCGATTTTGTTGTTAAACCAATGTGGGTAGGTCGCGGCTGGGTAGCGGCTGGGTCGCGGGTGGGTCGCGGCTGGGTCGCGGGTGGGTCGCGGGTGGGTCGCGGGTGGGTCGCGGGTGGGGTCGCAGGTGGGACGCCGGGTGGGTCGCGGGTGGGTCGCGGGTGGGTCGCGGGGTTGGTCGCGGGGTGCGCCGCGGGTGGGTCGCGAGGTGGGTCGCGGGTGGGTCGGGGGTGAGTCGCGGGTGGGTCGCGGGGTGGGTCGCGGGTGGGTCGCGGGTTGGGTCGCGGGTTGGGTCGCGGGGTGGGTCGCGGGGTGGGTCGCGGGGTGGGTCGCGGGTGGGACGACGACAGCAAACAACAACAACGCAACAACGCAACAAGCATATTCCTCACCACAGATCCCCCCTTCAGCCACGCACCCAGGGACAATGAATGACCGTTCGGCCCCCCCACTCTGATTGTTGGATATCTTTGAAAACATTCGGAAATCTGTGCGAAACAATGGGGCTCTTTACTATTCACAAATATCCAAGGATACTCAATCAGATTCTGGGCTCCTGGGGGAGGCCGGGTTTGGTCACGACGCCAGACCTGGTCAGACGTGATCGCGACGCGGCCCGGCAGTGCCAGACCTCATCGTGGTGGCCCCCAGCAGCGTCTGCTTTCACAGCGCCTTGGGGGTGTCATTCGGGGCGTTCGAATCAAATTGGCGAAATTCCGCAGCTGCCCGCTGGCGCTAAGTATCTTTCGAGGCGCGTCCCGCCGATCGTTGATGCGGTGCTACTGCAGCGGCTTGCGCGGTTGCGTCGGGCCCGCACGTGGGCCCCTAACGCCGCGCACCAAGGGTCACTATAGTCTGGGGCCACTCTTACATGCAGCGTGTCGCGTCAAGGCGTGGTGGGCCAGAACAGACGGAGCGACACGCTGAGCCTATGTTCCTGACAGTACACGGACATCCTTCGTGGCACCCGGCTAAATCGACGCAAGAATTGACGCCAACCGACGCTACTCGACGCTCCATCGGCGCTTTCTCACCGATTACCAGACGCTAGCGCACGCTTGTGCACTCCAAGAACGGAATTCCGAGGACACTCAAGGCTCCTATGAGTTGCTGCCGAAGAGACCCTTCGCTTTCCGTGGAACAACTGCCTCGCCAACCATGAGGCGAGTCTGGCCAGCTCCACGAGCCTCTAGATCAGCTGCACGCAAGAGTGACCCCAGACAAGAGTGACCTTTGGTACGCGGCTCTCGGGGGCGCGGGGAGGCCAATCCCGAGCGCGCAGGCCGCTGCTATCGCATCGCGCTCAGCCATCTTAGAACCCAAGCGTGCCCGCACCAAACCCAGACCCCAGACGCCGTGATCTTTCAAGACGTCGACCCGCAAAGGTCACGGCCCGTTCCTCGGGACCGGTTTCTCGTCCCGAGTCATGTTCTGACGGTCCCGAGGCCTGGTGAGGGCCCCCGGAGCCCGAAGATAGCGAAAAGCCTCCCGCCGTAACATTGTCATGGCTCGAGGGGGTCTGTGAAGGTCACTCCGGCGAAAGTCGGCGGCGAGCCCGGGAAGTGAGAAGGGGCGGGCCAGCGGGCCTTCTCAAAAGGTCAGAAGGCTCGGACGTCCCCCAGACGTCTGATAAGTTTTCTGAGCCTTCCCCGAAGACACAGAAAACCTCTCAGAAGGCGCGAGGGCTTCTGAGAAGTCCCGCCGCCTTCCGAGAAGGCCTTCTCCTTCTCACTTCCCCCCCCCCTCGTTCACCGCCGACAGAGAGCTGCCCCCCTCCAGGTGAGGGTGGGCGGCACGCCTGTAAGCGCGCGAAGTCGGGTGTCCAAGTCCTCCCTTTGCCTTCCCTGGGAATAGCCCCCCCTCCAGGGCGGCAGCCAGACAAGCGAGGCTGGCACATTCATGCCCTCGTAAGCGCAGAGGCGAACTTGAGGGGTAGGAGGGGGAGGGGGAGGAGGAGGAGGAGGAGGAGGAGGAGGAGGAGGAGGAGGAGGAGGAGGAGGAGGAGGAGGACGACGACCAGGAGGAGGGGGAGGAGGAGGCGGAGGAGGGAGGAGAAAAAGGAGGAGGAGGAGGGCCCAAAGACGGCCGCAGGGGCCCCCCAGACGGCCCAAGAGAGCCCCAAGAGGGCCCTAAGAGGGGCCCAAGAAGGGGGATACGAGCAGACATTTCGAGCCTTTCTCCCCAAGATGTCCCCATGAGCCCCCGACGCCCCCGAGACGCCCACAAAAGGCCCCAAGGGGCTCCCAAAAAGCCCCAAAAGGCCCTCAGAGGCCCCCAAATGCACCCAAGAGGCCTAGATGCCCCTGAGAGGGGTCTCACGAGCCCCTCACATGCACCCAAGAATTCCTTCACCCACCAGATACGTAACTTCCAAGGTCGTCGCAAACACTCGCTGCTTCTGGGGGGCCAGCGGAATGGCGCAAGCCACTTCAATCTTCCAGGAGCTTCAAGGATGGAGGGCCGCCCGTTTTGAAAATGTGGTTCATGCCTTAGCGCCACGCTCAGCTACAAGGATGGAGGGCGCTTCCTTTTCAAAACGGGGCCCTCGATTGACTTCCTCTACAACAATACCAGATGTGCGAAATACTGCGACGGCAGCACGGATGGACCAGGGCAGGCCCTTTTCAAAACGGTGCTCCCGCCAGATAGTTCTACGGTTCGGAACTTTTGCATAGCTCGTCGCGGCGACGGCCTCAGCGACACACTATGTCATGCGAGCTGATAGCGTGTCGCTCCGCTCCGCGGGGCGGGAGGCTCGGAAAAAACTCGGGACGTTGACACTGGGGGGGCTGGGGAAGTGGATAGCGTATCGTACCGAATCGTGGTAGGACAGAGTCAGCGGAGCGACAAGCTAACCAAAAGTTCCCGACCGTATCCTGGTTCGCAATTCGTTGTAGCTAGAGCCTAGGAGGATGCAGAGCAGTTCTTTCTGGAAATGAGACTATCGCCTGAATGCGATGGGGTGCTCGTCTCTCAAAAGGGTTCTCCCCGTAACGAAAGGGGACGCCTGTGGGGACTTCTGGGGGGGAAACTTCGAACCAGAGGGTGTGCTGCAGCGTCGTTGCTAGCTACATCCTGGCTGTACTCTGGTGATCATCCGCTTCGTCATCACCACCACCATCATCCCCACATTCATCCGTATTCGGCGCATCCGTTTCCTCGTCCACCTCATCCTTCGTCTCGCCCTCATAATCATATCCAAAATCATCATCAGCATCATCATCAACCTCGTCGTCGTCCTCCACAGCATCATCATCATCAGCAGCATCCGCATAATCAGCATCATCATCAGCAGCAGCATCACCATCATCAACATCGCCATCAACACCATCAACCTCATCATCACCAGCAGCAGCATCCTAATCATCGTCGTGGTCCTCATCATCAGCATCCTCAGCATCAACATCATCAACGGCATCATCATCGCCGTCGTCTTCATCACTATCATCACGATCATCACCAGCATCGGCATCATCATCAGCATCATCAGTACCCTCATCGTCGTATTTAGTATCGTCAGTAGCATCAGCATCATCACCATCATCACCATCAACATCACCATTACTATCATCAGCATCAACAGCAGCATAATCAGCATCAGCAGCAGCATCATCAGCAGCAGCATCATCATCATCAGCATCATCATCACCATCATCCTTCACCATTGTCTTCCATCTCGTCGTTGCGCCAGGCCCTATCACACACGCACACAAACGCACACACACACACACACAAATCAACACACACACACACACACACACACACACACACACGCACGCACGCGCACACACACGCACACACACACACACACATACAGACAGACAC